CTTTTGGGCTTGCATTTCTCTTTCTTCTTCTTTTCCTTTTAGCACGTAATGATATTGAGAGCTCTTGTATCATTGTAGACGATGCCTTGAGGCTTGATTCTTCGAATGCTTGCATGACAGTCTTCGTCTGCGTCTGGTAGTCCATGTGCATGTCAAGACTTGATATTCGTCTCAGCATTTGTCATCAATGCTTTGACTTCCTTTGGTCTGGTCAACATTGTAGATGGACAAACTTCATTTCCATCTAGAATGTTTTTCAGTCTATGTTGTCCTTCGTTTTATATGTAGTTAACTTTTGTCTGATTCTTGACCAGCCTTCTTTTGAATCTTTATGTTGCGCGTGACACACCTACATCTGTTATTTGATCCAACATCGTCTAGTGCTCATGTCGTATTTCATCTTTCTTTTGACTTTGCTTCGTCTGATTTTCGTACTTTGCTTTTCCTTAACTAATCTTCGTCTGGTACTTGAAGAAGTTCCATCTGTGGTCTGTATGGACGTCTTCTCGTTCTTGAATGTGCTTCGTCTGAAGCTTGATCATTTTCCTTCTTGTGATAGACTTGGCTTCGTTTGACCTTTCCGTCTGATGCTTGAAGCTTTCCTTCCTTTATCTTAGTTCTAGTATAAGAAGTAGCACACACTCTGTTCTTTAACTTGCCTGTACTTATGTTTTTCTGAAACACTAACACGCATGTTATAAATAACAATATGTATTATATTTGTCTCATTCAAAACTTTGCTGGGAATTGCTTCGTCTGACTTAATAATCTCCCCCTTTTTGTTGATGACAAATATAATTGATCAAATTGTTTTAAATAAACTAAATCAGAGTAATTCGTATATCATAGCAAGTTATCATAACAAGTTCGCATATTATTAATGTACTACGACTCTCCCCCTTAGTATATGCTATCCCCCTTACTAGATTGTTTCTTAGTCATATATGATTCATATATCATATTTGATTAATCATTTTCTATTTCTCCCCCTTTGTAATCATAAAAAAGAAATAGATGAGTCTCTAAGAGAAATTTGATACCAGAATAAATAACATAGTAAAGCAAGATCATACATATCAAAATCATAACTTTGAGCAGAGCATTCCATACAGCAAAATAATAACTTTGGATGAAAAATGTATATTAAATTGAATTGAATTAGAAATGTATACAATGAGAAGAATCTATGCAACCAAATAAATAAAAAAAAAAATACATATGATTATTCTCCCCCTGACTTGGTTGTGCCTAAGCTAGTTTATACAAATTATTATGTCCTCCCTAATGTGACCATGAAGAATCTATACAACCAAATAAACGATCCAACTTGTTGTCCAAATTTGCTCTGAATTTGTTGAATGTCTCTATAGAGACATATTATTGTGCAGGTTCAGATGCAAGTGGAAGAGCCTCAGGAGGGGTAGACGCTGCAATTGGCTCAGCATAGATAGGCTCAAACGAATCAGATGGTGCTATATCAGAAGGAGCATCCCAAGGCATAGGCATGCCTGGATTCCACATGGGAATGTCCTTGCACCAGTCGTAGATGGGAGCTTTGTACCACGAGTCTGTGACTGCCTTCCATTCATCCTTATAGAGATCTAAGTTGAATATCTCGGAATGGATGAAGTACTCCTTGTTGAGAGCGTCCAGGTCTGCCTCACGTCGTTTGTTCCGAAGAAAGGCGACAGATGTGTCAGAGAAGTGCATCAGCTTACATGGGGTCATCCATTGAAATACAGAAACTTCAATACGGCCGTATTGGTTTCAGTACGGCCGTATTGTAGTACAAAATGTGCAGTACGGCCGTACTGAACTCTAAGGAGGCCGTATTGAGCTCCAAACCTCCCACTTCCTTATTTTTAGGTACTCTAAGACCTCTAAACCTACAGATAGTCATCTTATGGTCTTCTGGGAGTCCTTCTGGCTGACTTTCCTTTGATCTTTGAGAGTCTTCGAGTCTTATTTCCGACCCGGACAATTTTAGGGGTCTACAATGTTCATATGAGACTTAAGCCTAAAATGAAAAGGATGAATACCACCTAATAAACAATTGTTCCCTACAAATATATCATTATGAACCTTTTATGTGAACTTGACAAAATATAATATTTACTATCCAAATAACCTCTCTCTCTCTTACTAAAGAGTATTTCTCGTCGAACACGTGGATAATCTATCTCAAAAGTTTGATATATACCAAATAGGTGAACATTTTCTCTCAACTTGAGTTTTATGCATTCCCAATAATCAGGATTCAATTCGTAACTACTTAGTTAAGTGACATGAGTCACTCACTACTCATATTAATCCAAGTTGGTACTACCCAAATAATTTACACACAAACGAGACTTTAGATATATACTTGCCATAAACCTAAAATACTGTTATTTGAATTTGAAATTAAGATAATGTTATATTACATCATAATAATTTTTAACATTATAACTTTACTATATTTTAAAGCATTAAACAATAAAATCTTATTTCATTCTTTATACGGTTAATTTTTTTTTATACATATTTTAAAGACAAAAAAGATTTTGTCACACATTCAAACATGACTGGTCATGGTCATTGTATTTCGAGTAAAGTATGATTAATTTAAATCTAAAATATTACTATTAAAATTTAAATTTGAAAATAATTTATGACTTATTATTATTATTATGATTTATTTTAACATATTTCATTTTATTGTTAATTAAAATAATTTATTTTAAAATATTAATTTCATTTTATACTATATTTTTCTTGTTTCAGAGAGAAAAAAATTCCTTGCAATACGGGGTTGGATAGCTAGTAACACTAAATTAAGAATACTTACACATGTTTGATCAAATTATAAATACATTATTTGTATAAAAAATCAATTAAGAAAAAATATTAATTCAGAAAATATTATATTCTATAAATCAACATTTATATTTATGCCGATTAATTTGATATATTTTTATGGTATCTGAACCAAATTAAGATTTTTATTACACCTAAAGCATTAAAAAAAGAACATGTCTTAAAGTTAAACCCATAATATTCGAATCGAAGATCTTTGTTGAATAGTATTCTTTTACGTAATTGTAATTTTAATTTTTTTTTATTAATTTATAGTTTTAGCTTCATATTTTAAAATAGAAATATTTAATTTTTTAATTTTAAAAATATGAAATTTTGAATTTTTCGTTAAATTATCGTTTATTAATTATTAAATTTTAATATTTATTAATAATTAAATGATATAATATTTAATAATATAATATTTAA